TTGAATGTATTAGCAAAAAAAAAAAAAGTTCTCATAAATAATATGAAAAAATACTGTATACAACAGCTCCAGAATAACTTATTAATTCATTCCATGAATTACATTTTGCATTACCTAGATGCAATTTGATATTTTTACAAATTAATGAACAAACTAGCCTTGAGCAGTAAATGTTTTCCAAATATCCATAAGATTTATGTGCTATTTCCTTTTACTATCCATTTGGGAGAACAAGTGCTGTAATAAGCAGGAGCAGAACAAAGTTGTATCATGGAAGAATTAGGAATTCATTGAGTGAATTCACTGCTCTTGTGATCGTCATGAAGCTGGTATGTAAGAAATGTGTCAAGCATAATTGCTGCATGGACCCTATTCATCAGAAGATTGTCCCAACTCTGCAGGGATATCTATCTTGCATGTTTGGAAAGTTTTTATAAATAAATGCACATGAAAAACTGGAGATTTTATCTTTCTGATTTATTACAAATGTAAATGTGCTTTAAAAAATCTGCATCATTGGCTAAGCTAAAAACTTGAAATTTTGGATGATTTCCTATGAGAGTCCTGGTTCTAGCCAAAGAGCCATCTGATCTAACGTTCTGTCTCCAGCAGTGACCTGTCAAATGCCCCAAGAAACTCTCAAGTAAAAGAGGATGGCAAACAGCCACTCTGTTTGTCTGCACATTTGGCAGTTCTAAATTAGCCTCAGGCAGGAAAATGAAACAGGAGGCCCAGGAGTCATTAGACCTAACTGCTCTCAGACTAGGAATGTAAAAGAATTTCATTCTATTCATATTTTGATCATTTAACAACTTCATATTTTCTGGATCAATATAAATCAGAATGAACTTATCTTGTATTTACCCCACTCAGAATTTTGTAATGCAGTCCTCCTGACAAGAAAAAATGCATTAAAAAAAGGGAAAATCAAACACAAAAGGTACTGAGTATTATCAGTATTATATAAGAGATATGTATGATATATATATGTATATATCAATCATACATAAATTCTTACAAAAATGTACATAGTGGGAGAAACAAAAATGTGTATGAATTTTCATGCAACCTTTTTTAAAATGCAAATTGATGTGAAAATGGTATAAAATAAACTATAGGCTGGAAAAATAAGAACCTGAAAGGAAACCAAAATTGATAGATTCTTCTGATCTACAGGTAGTCCCCAGGTTAAGAACGCCCAGTTTACGGATGTCCCATAGTTAAGAACAGGGCCTGTTGTAGCAAAATCCGAGTTAAATACAGAGTGATTCGACTTAAATACACAATGGTTCGAGTTCATTACACAATACTACTTATCGGTATTATATAATAATACTGTTCCAGCTTATATATACATTCGACTTAAGGATAGACCTTGGGAACGGAATTTGATCTTAAATTGGGGACTAGTATTTCAGTACCAACATTGACTGTGTATATAACACATTTTAGCTACAGAACTGTAGCCAAAACTAACATCAACATCTTTTCAGTTCTGTCTGGAATTGTACTTGAACAACTCTTTAAAGTACAGATATGAAAGGAATACCTTAACCTTCAATCACCTAGTGCAATGTGTGGAAGATGATTATACAGCCAGTATATTGCACCTCCAGAAATGTTTACTGAAGAGAATTCTCATTG